TTCATGGACCCAGCAGGCCTAGGAAGCTCCCGGGGATCCTGGTCCTCATCGGGTCTGGCCGGGGCTGGGCCAGGCCTGTAGGTGGGGGTGGGACAAGGAGAGCAGACAAGATGGTTTCCAGGCCCTCCCGGGGAGCAGGGTTGCCCCAGGCCCCAGGGTGCAGGAGGGGCTCCCCACTCCATTAGCAGGCCTCGGCATGAGTCAAGCGATCCGCAGACAGAGAACTGGAGCTCTGCTGCCTGGGGAGCTGACGATGCAGGGGCCTCTCCTTCCCTGGACCCCACCGGCAGTGGGTTACAGACCGTCTCGCAGCCTCCCGGGACCGGAGCCAGCAGGTGCGGACAGAGCGGTCAAGATGTGCACCTGGGGAGATGGAGCGGCTGCAGGCCCGACACGGGGCCCACAGGGGGCGTCTGCAGAGAATGATGGGGGATTCTGTGGTAGAAAATCTCAGTTGAGCATTTGGGAGCATGACTGGGGGACATACCGGCCGAAGGAGAGGTGCACCTGGAGGGGTGAATGAGGAACCAGCAAAGGGGGCTCGTGCTGTGCACCTTGGAGACCGGTGGGGGCTGCCTGGCAGGGGAGGTTCTGAGTTAGGCAGTGGGGACCCCATTGTCAAAGTGGGGGGGTCCCTGGGACACTGCTGTAACGCCCCAAATCCAAGCCAGCCTTCACCTAGTCAAACCAGGTGGGACAGAGGGGTGCTTATACAGGCCCTGATATGAGTGGACCCCTCACCTTCCCCCCCTCTGAGGAATCTCGGTTAAGGCCTCCCATCTACGTCCCCAGAACACCCCAGCATGGGGCCCAGGGGACCCCCTGGGAGCAGTGTCTAGGCCTGGTCAATGGTGGGGGGGGGTGCTGGGAGTGGGGCCACTTCTGGTCACATTCCCAGCTTTGTCCCCTCAAATGCACCACCTAGTAGAAGGTCAAACCCCACAGCCCCTGCCTCCTGGCTTGTACGAGGATTAAGCCAGCATTTCCCAACGTGTGGCTCCTGGGCTGCAGTCCGTGCAGGAATTCTGGGAGTGCATAGGAGAAAGTGAGGAAGCATTGGTTATTATTTTACTCATATTTTTCAATCTAATATTTTGTATTTATGTTGAAAAAAATGTGCCACTGCCATATGAAACCTACAGTTTTAGAAATATCGCCACTAAAGTCAAGGCTAAGTTGGAAAAAGAGAAAGACAAAAAGAAGAAGCAGAAAGACATGATCTAAATAAAATAATAATACAAGTGGGACCAGTGGTATTTGTTGCTGGCCTGCCTCCCCCAAGACACCCCCAGAAGAGCAGGGTTTTGTCTGGTCTCCAGTTGTGTCCTCAGTGCTTAGAATCGCGCTTGCTTGGCACGTAATACGTGCTCAATAAATACTAGTCGAATGAATGAAGGAAGGAAGGAAGGAAGAAATAATACAAATTAAGAAATCCACACTCAAATGTCTGACTTTGAGGAAATAATGAGAGAACATACATAAAACCCTTGGAAGCACCCAGACATAAGTGCTAAAAAGTATTCATACATACACTTATTATTATAAAAAATTATTATTATGTACAAGTGCACCAAATAGACATTCTGGGCAAATGCTGACTGGCTGAGCATGAAAATCAAGATATGGCCAGGGCACCTGGGTGGCTTAGTCGGTTGAGCATCCGACTTCGTCCGGCTCAGGTCATGATCTCACAGTTTGTGAGTTCGAGCCCTGCATCGGGCTCTGTGCTGTCAGCATGGAACCCACTTCAGATCCTTTGTCTCTCTCTCTCTCTCTCTCTCTCTGCACCTCCCCCACTCATGCTCTCTCTCTCAAAAATAAACATTTAAAAAAAACTTTTAAATAAATAAATCAAATCAAATCAAGGTATGCCCAAAGCTGAATACCACCATCCTAGGACAAACTTTTGAGATGTAAAAGCAAATCTGAATATGTATTAAACATTTCTTGCTGTCACGGCCTTATTTTCCACAATCACAACAGGCAAATCTTTCAGGTTGAACACTTCAGGGAGGGATAATTTCCCCACTTTGTCAGCTGCCAACATGCTCCTCCGGTCAATAAGTTTCTGTGGCGGTTCTAGAATGCGGGTCCCGAATTCTATCAACGGACTGAGAGTTGGGGTCGGTCTCTCTCTGCTCTTCTGAGTCTGGATAGGTTTGTGATGGCTTCGGCCAACTGAGTCGAGCAGAGGGGAGGCTGAGGTGTAAGAGGCAGTGTTTGTGGAAAGGCTCACTGTGGAGCCCGAGACACCTGGGAAGTCCGAGTGTCCTGGGGCGGCCATGCTCAGAGGCCAGCGAGCTGATAGCTGAGCCTAACCTCTGAGCTGTTCCAGCCCCGGCACCAGACATGGGAATAAAGCAGCTCTCCTAGTCCAGTCTCTGTCCACCGACTCCTTCCTTCCCATAGATCTTCCAGCTGAGGGTCTGGACATCACGGAGCAGAAACAAGCTGTCCCTGCTGTTCCCGTTAGACCTTCTGAACCACGGACTCCATTAGCATGACGAGATGGTTGCTATTTAACCCCCCCCCTCCGCGATGGTTGGGGTGTTTTGTTATGCAGCAAGAGGACAGGAACAGCTGCTCACTTAATAGCTGACACATTTAAATAGTATTACTTCTTCTGCAGAAACTAAAATCCGCTCCCTACTCCCACCACGCCTTGAACGTTCACAGTGATTATTTCCGATCATTGCAATCATTGTTAATCAGGGTGGCATTTTCCTTGTAAGAGAGCTGTTGTGGAAGACTGTACGTTCCTCCTTCCGCTGGACGGGGAGGAAGCCAGCTTACAAACCACATGCGGGGCTTTCCACCCCAAGTCATCCAGAAGGCTTTCTATATTTGAAAGCGAATATTCAGATAAAAAGTCTATGAGCGCAAACCCCTGCTTGTGTCCCGGATAGGGTTGCACCCGGTGGGCCGAATAGTTCTGGCTCGGAGATGCGTGCCAATGACACGGAAATAAGAGTGTTGATCTTCAACTTTTCTGAAGACCAAGACCTCAGCAGAACATCAAAACAGTCCTGTGTTGTCATTAGTTTTCTCATATCTGCGTGGCTCCTTGGGGAGGGGGCGAGGTGGGTGGGGACAAGAGGAGAAACTGAGGCTCACCGACCCTCAGCAAACAAAGGAAACTGGTAAATGGCTATTGAGTGAGTGGGCGCAATAATGGTCGCAGAAGCCAGCGCCGCCCCATGGCTGGCATGTTTCCAGTACACCTGCTATCGGCTTTTAATGCCCAGACGTCCACTAGATCCGCTAGAGCAGGCTGTGTCCCCTCAGAGCCCCAGGGCAGGCCGTGCCCTCTTCAGTCCCTTGCGGAGCAAGGTCATGTCTGCTCTGCCCAGCCCCTCCTGCCAGGGTAAGCTCCTCCAGGACTTGGCTCCACCCGCTCAGGACCCCTACGGTGGGCCATGTTCTCTCAGAAGCCCTGAGCTTCATAAAACACACGTACGGGTCATTTTTCAGCTAATTGCAAAAGAAAATTTATGTTCACGATGTGCAAGTCGAGTCCCAGATGGGATGGGTCGGATGGTCCGTTCACATGCGGACATTTGGAAAACCTGCCTGGAGCTTGCGGATGAGACAGGAGGAGGGGGTCGGGTGGGGCTGAGGTGCTCCCAAAGGACAAAGCGATGGTGGGGATCAACCACACTAAGGGTTTGGTATCCAGGGAGTGAGGCTCGGAGCATTTTCCAAACGCTCAGTTATCCAAAGGCACTTTCCTGTGTCTATTTATGTTTTAGGAAATTGCTCGGATGGACAACACATAATTTTTATCACCGAAAGTCATGGGAAGCAGGCACCCGTGAGCATTTTCCTGCAGACCAGCTGGTTGTCAGCAACACATGGATGAGACCAGGGCAGAAAACACTTGATTTCTCCCAGTTTAGGGGCAGCAGCACCCCCTAGTGGCCGGCAGGCCTCCAAGAGATCTGCAGATGCTCTAGGGAACCCGGGGAAGCTGGGACCCGACCTCCAGCCCAGACCAAGGAAGGGGTGGTTGTCTCAGGTTCTGCTCACAGGGCCTGGCACTCCTGTCTCCATGCTACAGGGACCCAGTTTCCTGTGTTGGCCTATGATGAATGTCTTTTTTCCCCCACTGGGTATCCACATCATGTTTTTAGAAAAAGCGCCCCATTTTCCATTGGGGAACCCCCTATACTCAAGTCATACAGTTCTTGAGGGTCAACCTTCCTGACTCCATGCATTACATGCACAGTGATTTGATGAGGGCTGAGGATATGACCCGAATCTGTCCAGAGAGAGCCAGGCCTGGACTTTGCTGTAGCTGCTGGTTAAGAATTCCCTTTCCACTGGGGCTGCTAAGTGGTCCGTGAAGATAAGCCTTGTGTTTGGGCTGAGGGGGGGGGGACATCTCTGTTGTATGTCTGGTTGTAGTGGAGTCTTCTTGGAAATAAAGCTGGCATGGAGAAAAGTAGATGTGAGAGAAAAAATGAGTCACAGTCCCGATAAAAAAGTATATGAGCAGCTGGATCCAACAGTACCTGAAGCCGATTGCTCCAGGGCAGTTTCAGTTAAGTGAACCAATTATTTTTTTTTTCTCTTAAGCCAGTGGGGACTGGAGGATAATGCTCCCTGCCTGATTTGTGCCAGTCCCTAACTTCTCTCTTCCCTCCCCCACAAATGTCCTCATCGCTGTTTCCATTTGCAAACTCAGAGGCCACGTTAATCAAAACCATCTTTATTATTTAAAGAGCATCCTGTCATCAGGGGCACCTAGATGGGGGTCCCCAGATGGCAGAACAATATTTACATGGGGGTCAGGAGGGTGAGGCTCGGGTGGTCCCAGGGCTGAGTGGGCCCGCCACTGTGGAAGAGAGGAGCCTGGAGGGAGGGTATCCTTGGACCTGTGGGCTCAGCCCAAGAAGAAAAATGTCCCATTCCAGGCCCAGGGTGAACCCCACCAGGTGGGGCTGGAGCCACCTAGGCGAACTTGGGCCCTGGAGGCGTGCACATCAAGGAGAAGCCGCAGGTCAGAGCTGGGTCACCATGCCGCTGGCTTCGGAGTGAGTCTGGGGAAAGACAACTGGGGGCTTCTGAGGACTGAGAGGTTCCCCCAGTCCCACAGCTCCCCTCCCCTCTCCAGAAGCCCTCTGAAATCCATCTGTTCCCTAGGCCGCCCTCTTCTAGGCCTGAGCATAGGTTTCCAGAAAACCCCGCCTTCTCCCTTTTCCCCATTAGAGTCCCAAACACTCCCGCCCTCTGGCTCCCATCTGGGCCCAACGTTCACCTTTATGGCCTGGAAGATCCACTCCCGGAAGTCACTGACTTTGGTGTAGACACCTGGCTTCTGGGCCAGGGCACAGCCGGTGCCCCAGCTCACGATGCCACACAGCCGCCAACGTGGCGTCCGAGAGATGCTATCCTCACACACGAAGGGGCCACCGCTGTCACCCTGGTGGGGGGAAGGGAGGCCTGGCTGGAGGCCGAGAGGGCATCCAGGAGGCCCTCTTGAATGGCCAGCGGCTGTGGCCACAGAGCCCCCTGGGCCTGAGATAGCGAGCCCGACCGCCCCCTGCCCTGGGTCTCCATCCCCGGAGTGGCAGGGGCTAAGGGCTACCCCACACAGTCCCTCACCTGGCAGGCGTCGATGCCACCCTCAGGGTAACCGGCACAGAACATCTTGGGCTTGATCTGGTTCGCGTAGAAATCAGGGCCGTTGCAGACATCGTTGCTGATTATGGGGACTCGGGCCTCCTGGAGTACCCCAGCCTGTTGGCCTGGGGGTGTGCGGGCAAGGCTGGCCAAGGCTGGGGAGCGTGCGCGGCCCCCTTCCCTCCTGGTGCCCCCCGCCCGGGCTCCTCAGCGTCCCTGTGCCCCGGGGCCCAGAAGCATTCGACCAGCCGGACTGCTTTTCCCCAGCCCAGCTCAGTCTCCCTGACGGCGGCTCCGCAGACAGAGGACGGGACTCACCGTAGTACTGTGTGTTGCCCCAGCCGGTTACGGTACAGATCTTGCCATCCACCAGGGCCTGGCCGGCAGCCGGGAGGCACACGGGCTGGATGTATTCTGTGAGAGAGACCATGCGGTCCAGCCTCTGCCAGCCTGGCCCACCTTGTACCAAACCCCTGTCCGGCGGCCTCAAGAGCCCCGGTACACCCTTTCCTCGGTTCTTTTAAAATAACCATGGGAAGAGTTGCCATCAACTGAGTTAACCGTGTACGAGGCGCTTTCCCGTATCCTCCAAACTCCCATCAGCCCGGGGGGAGGGGAGGGGCACCGTTAGCCCATTTCCAGAGGAGGGACATAAAGCCCAGTCACTTGTCCAGAGTCTCATAACGACTCAGTGACAGAGCTAGAACTGGAACCCAGGTCGGCCTGATTCCGGAGCCGGTGTTCTTAACCCCGGCCCACAGGGCCAGACCCTGCCGAGAGGGTGCCTTTGTGAGAAGTAGGAAAAGGCATCCCTATCTTTACATACTTGACTTCCAACTGCCAGAAAATCATCACAGTAGATACACAGGTCTACGCCCACAACAGTGACAATGGTGCCCCTGAGATGCGATGTCCTTGTGCCGGGCACAACACGCACAGAGGGTTTGTCTGCTCCCTGCTGGTGACTTCACGGGCCTGAGCTTCGGAGCTCTACGCTATAAAATGGACAGAATAATCTTTTCCCCTAGAGGGTGTGGTGAGAAACTGGCGAAGCACTGAGCAGCCCACCTGACACATAGGAAATGCTCACATGAATGAGTCACAGTAATAAACGACAAAAGCGGTGACTGCTCACACAACTGGGTGCCCACTGTGTGCTGCCATCGCTCGAAGCTCTTTACTCACATTCCCCTTTTAATCGTCTCAAAAACCCTAGGCAGTCATTTAATGGATCAGGGAAACTGAGGCACAGACAGAGGTGAAGCCACACACTCAAGATCACATAGACGGCAAGCCCCGGAATCTGATCCCAAATCCTATGCTGTTACCCCCTCGGCCCCGTGTCTTGAACCGAAGCCACTCCCACCCCCTCCTCCTGTGCTTCCACAGACACTTCTTTACTTCAGTATTTGTAACCCCCAAAGACAAGGCTTTGTTTTGTTTTTTTTTTAAAAAGTGTATCTGGGGCGCCTGGGTGGCTCAGGTCACGATCTCATGGTTCGTGGGTTCAAGTCCCACACGCTCTGTGCTGTCAGCGTGGAGCCCAATTTGGATCTCTCCCCCTCTCTGTCCCCCACTGGTGCATGCTCTCTCTCTCTCTCTCTCTCTCTTTCTCTCTCGAAAATAAATACGAAAGAAAAAAGCAAAATGTGCACCATCCCCTTCGATGGGAAAACCAATAACACGGATCATTCAAAAGAAAATAAGCATAAAAATAAGTATAATAGAAACCACAAAACAGTCCCACAGCACAGCCTGGGGGTTACACGCACAGATTCCCACGCCAGGCAGGCTTGGCTCAGATCTTTGCCATTTTTCCAGCTGCGGGACTTTGGAGCAGAGTTCCCTTCTCTGTGTCGGGATCTTTCCCCATGTGGGAACGAAGGATCAGAGGAGGACCCACCCTCCCCAGGCTGCCGTGGGGGCTAATTGTACTATTTCATTATCATTGTACCGTTGCCTGACGGAGGCTCATCGTCGTCATTACTACGACTTCGTGGCCATTGTTTTTATGATTAGTGTCACCACACTGTGGCCTGCTGAAAGCGGAAGCCCAAGGTCTGCTCTCAATCCAGAGGCAGGCCCTGGAGAAGCATCCTGACCCCTAAGGGGAGTCTTGCCCCCTGACAGCAAGGAAATGCCCCCAGAGAACTGCAGAGGGGCTAACTTCTGAGTCCCTCTCTGATTCATCTATTTTAAAAGCCTTCTTCATTTCATCTTTTTCATTTTAATTTTTTTTTATGTTTATTTTTGAGAGAGAGGGAGAGACAGATCGTGAGCAGGGGAGGGGCAGAGAGAGAGGGAGACACAGAATCCGAAGCAGGCTCCAGGCTCTGAGCTCTCAGCACAAGAGCCCGATGCGGGGCTGGAACTCACGAGCCACGAGATCATGACCTGAGCCGAAGTCGGACGCTCAACCGACTGAACCACCCGGGCGCCCCTCTTCATTTCATCTTAACTATATTTGTTGGTAACAGCTCTCTTGAGATGTAATGCACACACCATGCAGGTCGCCCTCTTCGAGTGTACGAGTCAATGGCTTTTTAGTGGGTTCACATAGAGTTGGGAGCCTGACGATCCATTTTAGAACAAAAGAGATCCTGTGTTCTTGACTCATCCCCTCCCAGTCTCCCCACCCCAGCCTCGCCCCTACCTCATAGCTCCCCTACCCCCTGGTAACCACCGATCTTTCTCTGTCCCCACACCTGCCCATTCTGGAGTTTCATTTTAACGGGATCACAGAGCGGCCTTTTGTGTCTGACTTTGGTTTAGCACAGTGTTTTCAAGGCTCATCTGAGTGTGTCTTGTGTCGGTACCCTGCCACTCCTTCCGTGTGTGGACGGACCACGTTCTGTTCATCCGTTTGTCAGACGTGTGGGTTGTCATCTTTTGCTTGTCGTCAACCGAGCTGCCTTGAACATCTGTGTGTGAGATTCTGTGCGGACATGTGTTTCCGCTTCTACTGGGCGCGTACCCTGGGGTGGAATTTGCTGGGCCCAATGCTAACTCCATGTTTGACTTTTCGAGGAACGGCCGGGTGGTTCTTCAAAGTGGCTGCACCAGTCGTCCCTGTCTGACGCGTGCCCGTCAAGATCGTTTCCCTTACCCCCATGGATTCCTATGGCTCCGTCCTCTCTCCTCCCAGCCTCTGGAGTCCCCAAGGCCAAGGCTCACCTCCAGACTTACCCGTGAGGGGCAGGGGGCTGGACAGGTGGACCAGGGCGATGTCATTGCTGTTTTCCTCGCTGTTGGGGTCTCGAAAGGGGAGGTAGCCCCCGTGGTACACCACCGCCTGCACCCCCAGCTGCAGGCCATGGGGGGAGGCCTGGGCCACAGCTCCGGCAAACACCCGCCATCGGGACAGGACCCGGTTCCGCCTGCCAGGGGACAGGAGAGGAGGATGGCAGCTGCCTGGGCACGGCCCGTCCCAC